ATCCATCCATCCATCCATCCATCCATCCTTTCTTCCTTCCATCCATCTATCCTTCTTTAAATATTTCTTTCTTTCCTTCTCTTGTGTGTGTGTGGGGTGGGGGAGATGAGAGATAAAATTATTTATAAAACTCATGAATAATTAATGAGGAAAACACAATAGAAATTATTGTCCGTGGAGGAGGTTGTATATCTGATACAAAATCGTCCTGATTTGCTTAAACTTTAACTTCAAATTTCTTAGCCAAATTCAATTTTATCTTCAAAATTATAGTAGAACATCGGAATGTATACACCTAGACGTTTCACAAGTAATATACGATATTCGTGTCCGTGTTGTATCAGATATACAATCACTCGCCTTCGGCTCGTGGTCGTATATCTGATACAACACGGCCACTCATATTGTATAGATTACAAAGAAAATTGTTAGAACACTATTAAGAACTGCTGATTGTGACACAGTGGGAGAAAAACTGGAGACTCCGTAGAAAATTCTAGAAGCACAGAAATTTAACAAAAATTGTTGGAAGTGATGTTCATGAATAAAGGAACGATCTGTCAAGGCTGGTTTAGACACCGATGACCTTGTCTGTCGGCGGTCTAGCCTATATACTTCACATCTAATACTGTAGATATATACAGGTACATCACAAAATAAAAGGCCCATGTACATGTGAATACAGATTACTACATACGTAATGAATGCGTGTTGGAATAAAGTCCACTATAACGAAAACCTGGAACAAGACTAGCCTACAGGCTTAGAGTGACCAAATGTCAGCAATAGTCCAGTTCATTCCAAAATCCATACAGGTAAATCAGTAACGTATCGCAGGACACAAATCCATCGATCATTTACATCGATCATTTAATTTTTGACGAATTTCTACTTACTTAGTAATTACGTGTACGAACAAAGACTTTAAAAATATGAAACAGCAAGGTCACCAAAAGAGGTCCTTTTTTTTTGTCGCGTCCTTTTTGATTGTTCTTCTAGAATCCGTGTGTTTTTATGATATCAAGATAAAGGTTAAATTATCATCAAGTAATGCTACAGATTCAGTGTTATGTACACAGGGATTAGTATGCGATATTGTGTATTGTGTAATCCATAGTGACGCATGTAAGAAGGTCAACAATCATAACGCCACAAAGATCCTATAATTAAAGAAGCACGGAATCCTGTTTATTTTACCATACCAAGTGTACATGGATTTTAAAAAACGTAATTTGGCATTAAGGTTAAGTATACAATGTCAACTGATGTAGAAGGATTTTTGAAGAGTAAAGAGATGCCATAGAGTGCATACCATATATCCGAATACGTTAACCAACAAAATTGTACCAAATTAGTGCAAAGTTTTGTAGGTCTGAGGTCTACTGAGGTCTACTGAAGTTACAAATTTGTGCACATTTGTGCAATTTCTTACAAAGTATTTCAAGGATATATAGAATGCACTCTGCTATTGTGGCAGTTTAGGGTGATGATAGTGAAGGAGACCTTGTCCGTCAAACAGGTAACAATGGAGTTGAAAAGAAAATAGAAACTTATAATGCGTTTAAAGAACTCCTAGATCAGTTCTTTATGGTCGTTCCAAGTTTCGAGAATGTTGAAATGAAAATGGTGTTCATTGGCAAAATCCTTGACACAGTGATCATGAAATTCCATAGTTTGCCGGCAGTAACATACTATTTCCAATTGACCATTTCCTCTAGCTCAAAATATTTGTATATTAAGCTCTCATTTTTCTTTTTTAGGATCCTCTTCCTCGCTAGATATAATAATTTAATATAAATAGTGATGGCAAAAGCCAAATAAAATTCTGCAAGAAATCGTAGCAATACGACAGGGCCTGTATAGTAAATGTTTCAGTCTTCTGGCTGCCTTTTGTGAGGTCTTTTCCAGATTTCCGGCTTACCCTGCACACTGTCCTGATGACAGAATCAGACTCAAGAGGTATCGTATTAAAATCAAAACACTGACATTACTTAACCGGAAAAGGAAATTCGTGCGACCACATGACTGTAATAATAACTATTAACTACATAAACATATGGCTAGAGAACATGAAAATCCAGCATGTATATGGCTCGAACTGTGCTCTCTCTCTTTTTCTATCCCTAACTCTTTCTTTCTCTCTCTCGAATAGTTCGGTTTTCTCAAGATCCATCTGGGTGCCTACCAAGTATTCCTAAAGGCAGAATACAAAGACACTCATGCATAACTCTATTCGATGTGATAAAGTTAGACAACGTAAAAATCCACCGTGAAAAATCAGGGAGGTGGTCAAATGTTTAATACCGTTTTTTTATAAACAGACAATCCTCACCTCTCATAAAGCATCATGGCAATAATGCAAAAGACCTCGCCACAATCTTAATAAGCCTGGACCCATAACTAGATATATAAACTGCTAGTCTTCTTCATAGACGCCATGTTGGCCAAATTTGACGAGAGATTTTTATGAATATCTTCCCGTTATTATTCATCCAACATGGTGGCCATTAGATCGTAATACTGTAGTGGCCGCTAAACATGCAGAAAATGGTGGTCGCTAGTCTTACTAATAGAGCTTTTCTCTTGTGAATGTTTGCAAAATAGCTAATATCTGGACTTATTCCGTGTTGTCCAGAAAGACTAGAATACCCTACAACAACAACTAACTCACAGATCGAATTTGACTTTATCGTGAGAGGTTTTACGGAGTCGTTCTGTTTTTCCAAAACATGTCTAGTCATGGGAAATTCCTTACGATAAATAATCTTTCGATGTCTTGTCGTTTTCATAGTCAGTATTTGGTTGTTTGCCATATTGTTCACGCGAGTCCTATCCTGACGTAGCCTCCTTTGCAGCCGTTCTTAGGGTCGTCACGCAACGTTTCCCTAGGGAAACGTTGCGTGACGACCCTAAGAACGGCTGCAAAGGAGGCTAGTCCTGACGCGTCTCTGATGTTTTTAAAAATAATAGTTCGTCTCACGCGAAACATTCAGCCTGTCAAACACAGAGAAGTTTACGATGAGTGGAAAACGATACAGCAAACTCTTGTGGCCATACTGAAGATGTACCGTATCTTACCGTGGCTTTACCTACGCGCTGTGATGGAAGAATTAATCGAAAAGGTACAGCACGTCGTACCGTGTACGTAGTGCTGCAAGTCAGTAAAGTACGTTTCCCACTCAAATCAAAACCGCTCTATTCGTTTTAACGTCATTATTTAACAGGATGGTATGCGTTCTGCCATAAACTGTTATTGTCAAGATTTTTCTCGTCTTTAAAGAGTGAGTGTGGCTAGAGAAAACTGGTCTATGATGGCCAAGAAATAGGATACATAAGACCGGTCGGACAAGACAGGACAGTCCAATACCCTTCACATCCTCTATCCCTATACCACCTCAGTAATACGACCAGGAAGAATGGATCGACAACACTGTACAAAGCAATTACATATCACAACCAACTGAATAATACGATCAAAAAGAACGGTGTGACCACAGCACATAATACAAACACTTATCCCGACTACCTCAGCAGTTCGACCAGAGAGAATGAATCGACCACACAGAAACCTCGGTAATACGACCAAATAGTTTCTTACGACCATCAGGAGGTGTTCTTGTCTCAACACATCAGAATTCCATACCGTTATCGCAGCGGACAATACGACTAATAGTGAACGAAATTCGGAAAAGATCCAAATTTATGACGGAAAGACATAACGCATTTGAATCAATGCTAATATTAAAAAATAGAAAATATTAGAAAATATTAGATTAGGTAAGAAAATATTAAACTAAAGACTACACAAAAAATTATCAGGCGAACAAGCGAGTTTTCATAGTCTTCCCCCACGAAGATCGGTTTATTAACCTGGTATTGATTACAAAAACTTCTAAATGAGATGTTAGTAGAGTGTTGCGTACCCCAAGATAAAATGGATGAAATAATCACGAAGGATTGTGGACACTTTAATATAAGATCAAATAGAGAAGTCTTGATCTTTGAAACGCTTTTTTTGAAGGAGCAAGTGAAGATAACTTTTGTTGAACAATTATCAAATTAAAAAAAACTCGTTTCAAATCAAAACTTTTGGCGAAAATGAGCGATTGATTGAGCCCATGTATGCAAGACAGTAACGATATTTTTTGTTAGCGATGGGATGGTACAATCAAGTGTAGATAGTATTCGATGTATATAATATAATGAAGTTTTTAGATTGACTTCTGATATTTGTCAAGGAAAAAAAGAATAAAACCTGGGAAATAAACAAGGAATGATAGAATCGCTAAGTTGATTGAATTATTCAACACAGTACAACAACCTGGAGCACATGGTCTCATTAAACTAAATCTAAACACCCGAGAGATAGATGTATAGAAAACCAAGAAATCCAATATTATTCTATCAAAAATAAATAATTGAACTGAGATGAGTTTTTTATTTTATTTAGTCAAGAAAATTTTAAGTCTGGCAATAATTTAGTGTGCTATAAATTCAGATGGTAGTTCTTACCTTCAAACAGAGAACTCCACATGCTAGCAACAGAAGTTTAAAATTCATTTTCTTGTGAACACCGAATGAGTTCTTTCTTGTATTGAAGCGCTATTTCCTGACCTGGATCACCTATGCAGTTTAGTTGATGCCCGTGAAGTCAAATCTAGAGTATACGCCAAAAACATTGGACAACAAGTATAAAGCCGTTACTAAATGGAGTAATATGATATAACATGACGTTACGTGTACGATGTTTCCGGCGTGGTACGCCATATCTTGACCTCAGGACAGCGTACATTTCCGTACCGTTTGTACAAGGATATACTGGTAAGATTCACAAATATTTTTATAATGTAAACTAATCCGCATAACTTATGGTGTTTAGTTAGAGTGTTTGGATTTATCTTTTAATGTAGTTTTTAGAGTAGTTTTGTTATTTAAAAATAATCCGTGCGGCGAGCTGATTGAGGAGAACATTGCGAAAGAGTAGAGTTGGTTTGTGTGTCAGGAATAGATCTGGTAAGCATCGACTTATCCACTGGATAAGAATTGATCCGCCTATCCTGGATAAGGATTTATCCGCCGGATAGCGCTATCCAGGCTTCGTACAACTGGGCCCTGAAGCATAGATGTGGACTTTGAGAGTCGCATATCATAATATTGTCAAAAATAGAGGAACGGTTATAGGTATTATCTCAACGAAAGCTTATCGTAAAGAACCGAATTAAGTTATAAAAGAAAGAAAGAGAAGAGGAAAAGGAAGGAAGGAACTGAAGGAGAATCGGAAGTACAGAAACAAAGACGAGATCAACTTAAGCAGAGTATTCAAACACTTTCGATGTTCAGTTTCCAAAAGACTTTCAATCTCCAAAGAATTGAAAACCTTTAGTTATGTTCTCCAAATTGAGCTGCACTCACGTGCTGCAAGGTGTCTATAGACAACTTTGTGTGACCATTACTTTGATCGATCCATGATATCTCGCCTTGGATAAGAAAGGTTTTGATTAATTAAGAAGTCGAAACAAACTTGAAGGACTTTGGAGATAATCCATTGTAATCCGTGTCTAATTTATTACTTTTACTGATTTCTCAACTTACTGATTTCTCAACTCCAGGTCAATTGAGTTGCATAAGGTACCATACGCGCAGACGAAACAATATCATTTCCAAACACACAAATAAACACGAATTTCAAAGAGGTTATCTGAATTTCCGTCTCTGAGCCGTTTACTTTTGCCCTCGTCAATTAGGACTAGAGATTAAAATAACCTTTCTTGTGTAAAGTGATATTCGATTGCTCAACTCAGCTCTTATGAGTTTGCGGAAAAAATAAGCAGTGTTATGTAAGTGATTTAAGTCCACTTAATCTCTTAGAATTGCTTAATCGCTGAACCAATTTTCGTGCGCATGTCTCAATTCAGTTCTTATATGAGAATACGGAAATGTTGAGCAGTATTTTGGGAACAGCTTTTTTTGCGCATGGCTCATATCTTGGCTTAACTTTGCGCAGAATAAAAAAATGCGCATATGATGAATATTTTCAGCTCGTTGCTGGTGGAAATCATTCTTTCTTTAACAATATAAATGAAGAATGACGTACGATGAGGAAGTATACGTCATAACACTATGAAAGAATCGAGTAATGCGTATAGCATTTCAATTGCATAGCGATCCTCGTGTTATTAGGTCCTTCTTGTGTCTCAATGCTTGGTTCTAAATAAAAACGTTAGGAATTGCTTGGGCGCTAAAAAAAACGCGCAAAAGGAATATCTTTATCATAGGATAGAGACGTTAAGATCTGTGCGCACAGTTGCGTAATTCACTCGTTCAGAAACTAGAGCAGAAATATTCTCTTTTTCTCCTTCTGGGGGTATTTCTATCATGCTATAAAGACACTCTTTTTTGCTCCATGACAAGATGAAAAAAATAGTAAGTCGTTTCGGTAGGAGGGCCTAAAAGATGAGCATGGCTCTCGCTTGACTGAACCAGGGTGGTTTTCTAGGACCACACGTACAAGATCGTATTTCAAACCTTTCTCAATAAAGAAGGTTAAAAGCCATTCTGTTATAGACACAAAGAAAATAAAAAATTAAAAAGATAACATCCCCTGCAAGGGATTATGCTGAGTCAAGTGTAGTCAAGTAAGATCATCTCTGGGTTCCTTTATACATTAATTGTCTACAACATTATAAAAAGCATTTCTTTAAAAGCAAATCAAAGAGCAGGAAGTGATTGATCAGCCTTCTCTCGGACCGGAGACTCGACTTTTCTTCGTGCATAAAAGCTATCCCTCTTTCTTCATTAGTAATTTTAGAACGACTTTTTGCTTCTCTGAGGTTTTCTCTATTCATAAACTTATGCATGTTTTTGTTGATCGTGTTTCTAAGTAAAAAGCTACCGTGCCCTGTCTCGAGTGGCACAAAATAGACTCCAAATGATTCATGGAGAGATTTATTCCCGGTATAGTGTGTGGTGTTATAATCAATATAAGTGCTGCACACTTAACGTGGTCTATTATACGATATCCCATACTTTTAAAGTGAAAAAAACTTTCTCGAGGATTGCTAAATTAAGATAAAAGATCCTTGACTTTTTCACCTTAAAAATATATATCTTGAGAAATATCTTTTTTATTCACGTTTCTCGGAGCGAGCATGTCGAAAGTCATGCTCAAGATGATGCGCATGCGCACTGGTCTCAATTTACTGTTACTGTACATGTGGACGCAATAGGTAGAAGTGGATCAATGGTCAATTAAAGGTGATAGAGATCTTTCAAAGAGAGTGGATGGACTAGCCTTCTCCGTAGGCTACTCCATATATTCTATATTCTCTGTTGGGATCCCTGTGTTACATTTTATGGCAGAGAAGAACCAGGAACGAGAGAGAGAAGGAGGAGTGGGGACGAGGGAGAGAGAGAAAAAGCCTTCCCCCTTCGTCTTTTTTCCTCGCCACAGGAAGCCCAATGAGTAAAAAGAGCCAAGAAAGACTAAAGAATACACTTGAAGAGGATCGAAATGAGATTAGGAAATAAAGTGGCAGATGATTGGCTATTCAGTTCAAATAGCCAATCAAATAGGTTTCAACATGGTGTGGCGGTTTGTAGTTAATCTTCTTGCATAGACAAGACTAGTGAGGGAAGACAGGAGTGTAAAGGGTGAGAGTCAGGATGGATATACTTAACAAACTACGCTTTTAATTTCCATCGACCCCTGAAACAACCTCTGGGATGATCTGAGTTTAGCATTTTAGGTTTTGCAGAGGAGTACGATCGAAGAACATGAGATGGAGTAGTTAGCAAATGTTTCTTTTAATTCCATAACTGAAGCATTCATACTACAAGACTGTCAGCTTCTTTATGATTCACTGAACTCGTTCTAGGGCTTGGCATTTCATCGGCGACCTCTCCACCATCCACCCCCACCACCACCACCACCACCACCACCTCCTCCCCCTCCTCCACCACCACCTCCACCACTACACGTGCTTGCTTTATCAAAGCTACCTTTCAGTACATTCTGCCGATACTGTCCTCGGTAGTTGCCCGCTCGTCTATATCGACCAACTACATAGGTACACCGACCACTGGTTGCTTTTCCCATCCCGAGTTCGGTGCTTCCCTTCCAGACGACTTGCGTGAAGTGACCCGTGCGACCGCTGAACCCACCGTTGTTGAAATTAAAGTAACACACCTCATCGTACCTGGAATGACAAAACACAGGGAGCCCATTTCAGATAATTTTCAAAAAATAACAACACCGCATTCCTTGATAGATGCTTTGAATCCTCATGTGTGGGCAGCCATGTTAGATGACAGAACAATAGAATCTCTTTACTCTGGGCAGTAGATAGCGCGTTATTGAATTAACTAAATATCTCTGTGTTCCTTGATAACAGACACATTTACTCGGGATTAGCCTCGTTTTAATGTCTCAACTCCCAGGGACACGGTGATAGGAAGGCACCCAGGAACAAAGAGGCAAGAACAATGGTAAGATAACGCGCAAAAAAGATTTTTTTAAATTATTTTCTTTAGATTTTGCCCGCAGGCTGAATATTTCTATATTTTTGGCCCACGATACGGCTGCCCTCAAACCCTCTACAGGACATCTTTAGGCATGCGAGGAGCATGGGTATGAAGAAAAGTTTTTCTTTATTATTTAGTTCCAGGTACTTACCACATCTTAGTGGCAGCAGCAGCAGAGAATTCTCTTCCACAATACATGGCCAGATTCTCACCATCTCGAGAATTAGAATGAGTAAGTCGACCCCTTCTTGCTATCTTAGCAGCATAAGCCTCAGCTTCACGGTTCATTTCAGCATTCAGGGTCATGGCGGGCGCGCTATGAATGCGACGGTACTCGTTGTGCTTGTTTAAACCTTCTTGTGCAAAGGAACTGCTTTCTCCGCCACTTCCGCCGCTACCTCCACTTCCGCCTCCGCCACTTCCGCCGCTACCTCCACTTCCGCCTCCTCCACTTCCGCTTCCTCCACTTCCGCCACTACAGAAATTGCAAGCTTTTTTACAATTGATTTTCATGTAATTACGATAGCTGTCACAGTATCCATTTGATTTCCAGTACTCACAGTTCTTGTTATTGTCAAAACAAGTTCCTGAAAAAGGTAAGAAAATTATTWAAAAAATACTTTAATTTCAAAATAAATGATACTTATATATTCAATAGATAGTAGTTTTAGATTGAGTGCAACGAGTTTATTAGTGCTGTACACTATTTAGTGTTACCCTCTTATTATAGTATTATAATATGATAATGATATTAATATATTAATATTTTGAAAAAATACTATTATATTAATTATAGTACACTCAACAAAATTACTCAACTCTGATTGGTCGAGAGGAGTACAATTATAGCGTTAATTGTACTCCGTTGGAGTACCGAATTAAGTCGCTATGGCAACACGGCCAAAA